TTCAATTCAACTTCACTATTATTATCCGTGGAATCAGCAGCACGTTCTGGCGCGAAACGGTAAGGTTCAAGACCCGCCATACTAAAGCTCAAAAGAACAAGACACACTCGGACGGAATGACGTCACGGATATGGGGCCTGGCCTTCAAGGTTCTGTTCAAAATGGCGGCCCCCAATGTCGAACGTTTTGCTTCTTTTTCATTGGGATAACATCCACTTCAGAAGCTAAAACAACGGTGAGTGACTAAACTCAATGTGAACTTTTTATTGCTGATAGAAAAAATACACAGTTTTCGGAGTGACCTACTCCTTTAAGCAAAATTGGTTCTTTCTTGACTTTCTCATGGACACTCCTTGAATTCAAGACAGGTTTGCTGCAATAACATACATAGTAAAAACAATGTCTGAACTGGGCCTTTAAACCTTAATTGATGTGGAAGTAACCAAATTTACAAAATATATAAGCTTAAACATGCCTTCAAGCAAAATATCTGCATGAAAGAGCAATGCCATGTGTTCTCAGTTAAACGGATGTACATGTCTGTGCGATAAGAAGACCTAAAGAAGGCCATTTGGCCATGTACCACCTTGCATATTGCAAACTCAGGCTAAGTCAGTGTTCATCTTCCAAACATTGGAAAATTGTTACAGCCATGACAGTAATACCAGTCCTATTTTACTTCAATACAACTTTAGTTAAGCTATTATATTTTATGTTTCTGTTATGTGATTAGTTTATATTTAAGTTAAGTACCTAACCTGGTTTGCTTGTGTACTAGCAGAAGGCATTCTGTAGGACCCAGAACCTCCAGTGTCACTTCTATTAGAAGGGCTTTCTTCAGAAAGGTCTGGCTGTCCTCCTTTGGTGTAGATTACTTGTGTTTCCTGGGAAACATCAGCTGGTTGATTGTTCTGTAACTGTTCTGCTGGGTGATCGTAGCATTTGGAAGATCCACGTACAAAATTTTCCTGAAGAAAATTAGTATTTAAAATTATCAAGTTAACAGATACATTAATTCATGCACTCAAGAGATTATTTTTTGAGGGGGAAGGGTAGAAAAAATTACTTCTATAAGACTGTATGGTACTAAGGTATACCTGCCAACGTTTTCTGAGTTAATAGGCGTGAGATTTTTATCCTGGGAGTGTCGCGTTTTTCGAAGACAACATGAACATATCTTAAGATTCCCGAAGATGTCCGAAAACTTCTGAAGACATCCGAAGTCTTCTGAAGATGAGGTTATCAAATTTGCATGCAATAGCGGAGGTGGATGTTGTAGATAAAGAGAAGACGTTTGCCTGTAGAATACTAGGCTTTAATCACCAAATCTCTTACTACAGAAAACATGGTAGCCAGCTGCAACCACGAGGATTGCAGGCTCATATAATAAAGTGAAATCACACTACATATACAACACAATGAATTATAATGTAACACAATACGTCACGCAACACTTACAGTGTTCAAATGTCTAGTTTCTAGCTTAATTTGCAATGTCATTTACACCACATTCACCCTGTCCTTTACAGATTGAGTCTTACTACAGGACGACAAACTTGTTGGGAACGACGAACAGGTGCAGGTTACGTATTATACTGGTGTAAGTTCAGGTTGAGGTTTAGGTTCAGGTTTAGGTGCAGATAATGGTTCTGCATCAGGCGTAACACTCACATGTGTGTCAAGGGGCAAGTTCTCTGCTTCCTCTGGAATACGTTCTGTTGCTGGCAGGGTCTCAACAATTTCCATGTGGCCCTTAGGTGAAAGGTGCTTTGTAGCTACTGTCGTCTCCCTACTGTCAGAATAGCGCACATGTGCGTAGTGAGGGTTTGCCCGGAGTAGTTCCATTTCATCTACCAAAGGGTCCATCTTACTTGTGCGCACCTGGTGTTTACTGTACACTGGCCCAGGTGTAGGTAGCCAGGTGGGAATGGAGGCGGCAGCAGACGATTGGTGTGAGAAACCAAAGAATTGCTCATGAGGAGTTTCATTGGTGGCAGTACACAAAAGAGAACGGACAGAGTGTAGCACATCAGGGAGGACATCTTGCCAGTTCTTGAGCGGTAGGTTCTTGGATTTCAACCTCATAGTAACTCCTTTCCACATCACGCCATTGCATCTCTCTGCTTGACCATTTCCTTCTGGGTTGTAACTGGTAGTTCGACTTGAAGCTACTCCTTTCAAAGACAGGAATTCGCATAACCCTCTGCTCATAAATGAAGCTCCGCGGTCTGAATGAACACATGCTGGCATCCCAACAAGTGAGAACTGCAATGTAAGGCACTTGAGGACTGTGTTTGTTGACACAGGACATGGGAAAACAAATGGGAACCTGGAGTACTCATCAACAACCATAAGAAAGTACTTGTAAGTAAGTAAGTAAGTAAGTAAGTAACAACTTTATTTACAGAGGGTAACACATAACAGTAAAAAACTGACGAACCAGTGGCCCTCTATCCTAAGTTAAAAATTAAAAACTGTTTACACTTATAAGATAATAAAAATTACAAAATAGAATACAGCTCAAATTTAAAGATACGATAAAAGTTAAAAATTTTAAAAATCTAAATCTAGATATGCACAACTAAAAACTAAGCTAAGAGTTTTTGGACAAAAAATATTTTCTAACAGAAGATTTAAAGGAGCCAATGGAGTCTTTCTTGCGAATGTCTAAAGGGATGCTGTTCCATAGTTTTGCTCCATTGGCTTGGAAAGTTTGTCCCCCTTCCGATTCTCTGTTATAGGAGGGGCACACTTGTTTCCCTTATTCGTAGGAAGAGGGCCTTTGAAGTCGATGTTGATCCTCTTGAATAGCTGAGTGGCTTTGATATGGAGAACCCTCTCTGGGCATTGGAACGGAGGTTTACATTCACAACAAACAGGGAACTGGCTTGTCATCTTCTTTATCTCATCAAGGGAAAAAGGTAAGTTCTTGGTTCGCACAGTGGTTTAGTCTGGTGACGCCTGGATGGCAGAGAGCCTTGTGAAGCTTGAAGAGGGAGGGTTCGCCCACGTAGGGCCAAATGAGTCCGGGTTTTTGTAGCACCAGGTATCGAGCAGATCATGCGTTTTAATCAAAGCCTAGAGTTAAATAGTCGATGCTTTTCTAATGTGAACAGGTTTGCCGCCTCTTTTGTCTAGTGTCGATTATGCAATTAAAATCGCCCCCCAACACAAGATTTTTATTTCCATATTTGCCGAGGAGATTATTTGAAAGCCCCCTTAAGAATACAACCTGTTGGTTTGGATCGTTTGGTGCATAAACATTAACCAG